AGTTTTCCACGTGTTTAGACATTTAAAAAAAATTTTTTTTTCAACGTTTTTTATTTATTTTTGGGACAGAGAGAAACAGAGCATGAACGGGGGAGGGGCAGAGAGAGAGGGAGACACAGCATCGGAAACAGGCTCCAGGCTCTGAGCCATCAGCCCAGAGCCCGACGCGGGGCTCGAACTCACGGACCGCGAGATCGTGACCTGGCTGAAGCCGGACGCTTAACTGACTGCGCCACCCAGGCGCCCCTAGACATTTTAAATGAACATTAACTATTGTCCCTCCATTCATTAAGCCATTAAAAAAAAATACAAAATAACTTGCTTTTCCACTTGGGTCCCGATTTTTTTTCTCTCTCTAGTAGTTGAGGACCTCTCATAAAAACAAGTGCCCTGTCTTCTACTTTTAAGACTGGTGGAGGAGTTATGGAGACCAAGAAATTCTACCTTTCCATTTCTCATCAAGGATGTTACTTATAGGTGTCTTTCAGGTTGCAGAAAAGATGGAAAAAAGGACATGTGCACTCTGCCCCAAAGACTCCGAGTATAGTGTCCTATACATTGCAAAAAAAGAGACTATAGCTGCTCATGAAAATTGTTTGGTAAGTTACTTGAAAACACATGAGTCCTTTTAGGGAAGGACGTACCAATATAGATAATGTACTTTGGAGACAAAGAATGATGAGTTGGCCATGGTTTGGGCTTTTAAGTGGGGATTTGGGGAGCAAATTTCCTAACTTTTTAAACTGTTTCAGATCTTACCACCTTATGATTACATTTTAGCTGTATTTGTAACTGATTGAACACAATTATGATAAGCTTCTTTGAAGATATTTTAATGAGATATTTCAAATATAATAGATACCCATAGACATTTCACCCAGATTTGAAAAATCATACTGTATTTGCTTTAGCTTGGATTTTTTTTTTTTTTTTTTAAGAAATAAAACATAGTTAAGGACTCTCTAATTCTCTCTCTTCCCCTCCCACCATCCCTCTTGAGATATAATTGCCATCACAGATTTGGTTTTCACCATGTATATTTAAGTGCTTATAACAAGATATGATGAGGTTTTACATGTTCTTGGACTTTGTAGAATTTCAGCCAGCTTCTGTGAACTATTGAGATTTATCCATGTGAGAAATTTCACTCTTAAGTCTTTAATTTTAAATGTTAGAGAATTCTTTTGTGACTGCCACTATTAAACTATTCTCATGTGAATGAGCATTTAGGTTTTTCCCCTTTTTTTCATATAACTAACCAGCTGTCATCAACATCCTTGTATAATAAGTCCCCTAAATCACGGGAGAATTTCTCTGGTGTAGGGCACAGAGCAAAAACCAGAAATGGTGGACACAGAGGGTGCATTTTGCACCTCACTACATGCACCAAATTGCTTTCCGAAAGGATGACACCAAATTCATTTCTTGTCTTCCTTGCCATACATGATATTATGAAATTTTAATTTTTTCCCTCTCTGATGGGTGTGAAATGGTCTCTTGTTTTCATTTGCAGTTTCTAGATTTGGCTATGCTTATGCACAGATCTTTTTGTCACTTCTGTGACTTGTGTTCCTGGACCACATTTTGTCTTTGGGATATTGATTTTGTTTAAGTGTATTTTTATATGTATATAAATAGATGCTAATGAATTATTATATATGTTAGCTTTTAATTTATGGTGTTTCCTTTCAGAGCCTTATAATGTATCCTTGTTAAATATATCATTGTTTTCCTTTATAATTTGTAGGAGTTCTTCACTAAGAAATTCTTTTCTTTACTAAGATTCCCCCCCCCAATTTTAAATTTTGTCTTTTTTCATTTAGTTTCTTAATCCAACTGGAATTTATTTGGACTACTGTGTAAAGTAGGGATCTCCTCTTTTGTCATATGATTAACCCCTTTTCCCAGCATTATTTGACTAATCTGTTCTTTTGTCATTGATTTTAGTGATAATAATGATAACTCTTATCATTCAGTGTTCACCAGGTGTAAGGTAATATTCTGGAAGCTTAACCTGTATTAAACTATTAATCCTTACAACAACCCCAAGACGTAGGTATCATTATTATGCCCAAACTAAAGATGAGACATCTGAGGCACAGAGAGTTTAAGTCACTTGCCCAAGGTCATGCAGCTGTAAGTGACTGAGCCAGGATTCTTACCTGGGCCGTCTACTTCTAGAACTCCCACTTTTATCCAGTGTGCTAACGATATAATATATGTGCACATATCTGTTTCTGGCTCTTTAGTCTGTTCCATTGGTCACTTTGCCTATCCCTCAGCTGGTACAACATTGTCTTAATTACTATAATTTTATGATAAGCCATGGCTCTTTTTTAGTGCTTTGAATTTTGGGGTCAGTTTATGAGTTTCACACAAATTCCTTTTGGAATTTTAACTGGAATTCCATTGAATTTGGGAAAAATTATATGAGTGTTTCTATCCATCAACAGAGTATCTCCAACTATTCGGTCATTTTTTATGAATTTCAGAAATATTCAAACATTTTTTTTTTTTTTTTATGTAGAGGTCTAGAACTTTGGATTAATCTTTTTCCTGGCTTTGGTTTTGTTGTTGTTTGTTTTTTGTTTCATTACCTTTTCCTAACGCTTTTTTTTGTTAAATTGAAGTATAAAAAAAATTGTAGTTGACACACAGTGTTACGTGTTTCAGGTGTAAACATACTGAGTAATTCTACTACTCTACATTATGTTGTGCTCACCACAACTGTAGCTACCGTCTGTTACAATACCATTACCTACATATATTTCCTAATCTGTGCCTTTCATCCCTGGGATTTACTCATTCCATGACTGGAAGACTAGACCTCCCATTCCTCGTCACCCATTTTGCCTGTGCCCTCTCCACCTTCCTCTCTGGCAGCCACCAGTTTATTCTCTCTTTATGGGTCTTTTTCTGATTTTTTGTTTGTTCATTTGTTATTTAGTTTCCACATATCATTGAAATCATATAGTACTTGTCTGTCTCTGTCTGATATTTCACTTAGCATAATGCTCTCCAGGTCCATCATGTTGTTGAAAATGGCAAAATCTCATTCTTTTTTATGGCTAAGTAATATTCCATTACACACACACACACACACACACACACACACACACCACCTTCTTTATACATTCATCTGCTTATGGTTGCTTCCATGTATTGGCTCTTATAAATAATGCTGCAGTAAACATGGGGTGAGTATATCTTTTTGAATCAGTGTTTTCATTGTCTTTGGATAAATACCCAGTAGTTGTATTACTGGATCATATGGTATTTCTGTTTTCAGTTGTTTCAGGAACCTTCATACTGTTTTCCATAGTAGCTCTGCAATTTAGATTCCCCACAGTGCATGTGCATTCCTTTGTTCCTACATTCTTGCCATCACTTGTTATTTCTTGTCTTTTTGATACTAGCCATTCTGATAGGTATGAAGTGATATCTCATTGTGGTTTTGATTTATTTTTCCCTGATTCATCATCAGATTATTTGTTTTTTTGGTGTTGAGTTATATGAATTCTTTATCTGTTTGGGATATTAATCCTTTATCAGATATGTCATTTGCAAATATCTTCTCCCATTCAGTAGGTTGCCTTTTCATTTTGTTGACAGTTTCCTGTGCTGTGCGAAAGCATTTTATTTTGGAGTAGTCCCAATAGTTTATTTTTGCTTTTGTTTCCCTTGCCTAAGAAGACATATCTAGAAAGAAGACATATCATGTTACTATGGCTGATGTCTAAGAGATTACTCCCTATGTTTTCTTCTAGAAGTTTTATCGTTTCAAGTCTCACATTTAGGTCTTTAATCCATTTTGAGTTCATTTTTGCATATGGTATAAGAAAGTGGTCCAGCTTTATCCTTCTCCATGTAGCTGCCACGTTTTCCCAACACCATTTATTGAAGAGACTGTCTTTTCCCCATTGTATATTCTTATCTCCTTTGTTGAAGATTAGTTGGCCATATAATCATGGGTTTATTTCTGTGGTCTCCTGGTTTATTTCTGTTCCATTGATCTGTATGTCTGTTTTTGTGCTGGTACCATACTGTCTGATTATTATATGTGTCTTTAAGTCTGAGATTGTGCTACCTCCTTCTTCTTTCTCAAGACTGCTTTGGCTATTGGGGTCTTTTGTGGTTCCATACAAATGTTAGTATTATTTGTTGTAGTTCTGTGAAGAATGCTATTGGTATTTTGATAGGGATGGCATCGAATCTATAGATTGCTTTGTGATTGCATTGTGTAATGTTGATCTTCAAGTGAGAGGTAGGTTAGATTCTTTTGGTTTCAGGTAACACACAGAAACTTGAGCCAACCTAAACATAAAAGTTGCCTTTCAAATTTTTTTTTAAAGTTTAAATCCAAGTTAGTTAACATATAATGTAATAATGATTTCAGGAATAGAATTTAGTGATTCAACATTTATATATAACACCCAGTGCTCATCACAAGTGTCCTCCTTAATGCCCATCACCCATATAGCCCCTGCCCTACCCAACACCCCTCCAGCAATCCTCAGTTTGTTCTCTGTACTCAAGAGTCTTTTATGTTTGTCTCCTCTCTGTTTTTATCTTATTTTTGCTTCCCTTCCCCTATATTTATCTGTTTTGTTTCTTAAATTCCACATATAAGTGAAATCATATGATATTTGTCTTTCTCTGACTTACTTTGCGGCATAATATACACGCTAGTTCCATCCATGTTGTTGCAAATGTCAAGATATCATTCTTTTTTGATTGCCCAGTAATATTCCATATAAAAGTGACTCTTTAATCAGACTTCAGGGGCATTTCATGGCTCCTGAAGGCAGACACACAAGCATGTCTAAGAAACAGTAGCTAGAAAGCCATCAGGAACCCATGATGTCCTCTCTAGCCCTCATTTTTGTTTTCCTCTTTGCAGACTGGCTTACTCTCTATCATGTGGCTTAGAGTCTATTCCACTCTCTCAGGGTAGGGAATCCAGTTGGCCCAGCTTCAGGTCAGGGCCCTAACCAGGTCCATTTAAACATTGGGGTCAGGGTTATGCAGTATAAAACATGCCTGGGGATCCTTCCAAAGAAAAGCAGGGTGGCTTGTGATCTGCTTATACACCCCAAAAGATGGTCACTGTTATACCCCCAATCCATCTTCCACCCCCAGTGAGTACTTTCGATACCATTTTATGACTTGTGGCTCTCAACGGTACTTTCAGCATATTCTGAATTTTTTCTTTTCCCAATCTGCAGCTGTATTCTTCAGCACTTGTGGAATGTGAGGATCATGATCCAACTAATGATGACAGAAGTTTTGATGTGGAGTCAGTAAAGAAAGAAATCCATAGAGGAAGGAGGTTGGTAAGTACAAATGACTTTATTACTCAGACAAAACGAACAGATATTAAAGGGGATGTTTCCAAAAGAAAGTCTACTTGATTGGTAAACCAGGGATAGAGATACATCTTGTAGAGCTGAAAGATGTAGGGTCTTTAGAGTGGGAGAGAGCCAAAGCATAAGAGACTCCTAAAAACTGAGAACAAACTGAGGGTTGATAGGGGGTGGGAGGGAGGAGAGGGTGGGTGATGGGTATTGAAGAGGGCATCTTTTGGGATGAGCACTGGGTGTTGTATGGAAACCAATTTGACAATAAATTTCGTATATTAAAAAAAAAAGATGTAGGGTCTGTATTAGAAACTTAGACTTTACTGAACATTTAATATTTTAAAATAAACTACAACATGCTTCATCAGCAAAGTATATAGGAGTTAGAATGCTTTGGGCTGTAAGTAGAAGGAACCCAACTGAAACTGGCTTTAAAAAAAGGATGCTTGTTTTCTCACTTAGCCAGAGGGAATGCTGGCTTCAAAGTTGGTTTATTTAGTGGCTTAACGGTGTCGTCAAGACCCCATCATCCTTTCTGTCATCGTGTCCACATCAGTTGGTCCTCTTGTGGTCATAGGGTAGGCCATAGGCAACAACCGAAGGGTCAGGCTTTCTTGTTCCCATCTGGTGAAAGAAAAAGTTCATCCCCAAGTATGGAGTAAGACCCTTCTGAAAATTTAATTAAGCCACACCCATCCTCCTGCACCAGTTGCTGGAGGTGACCATAACTAGGATCTATCCCCTTGGATCTGAGGTCAGCTCCCCCTGGGAAGGTAGAGTGAGGAGTAGTTACCCTCCTGGTTCTGTTACAGCAGACTTCCTCTATGGAAAGCCCTTCACGGCTTAGCAAGCAGTACAGCAGGTGTGAGCACCTAATGCCCACCACTACAGTAAGGTTTGTGATCTGGAACAAACATTTATGTAGTCCTTGCAAGGCCGACACATATATGAAGGCAGTTTCTGCACAGCCTGATGTGCTTTGAGAAGGATCAGCACAGGTCACTCAAGCAAGCAAGAACCTTAGCACAGGTGAGCACCAGGAAGCCCTCCTGGCTGGGGAGGAGTGAGGGTAAGGAAGATGGGGAAGGAGGATGGCATGTTTATAAAACTATAAGTACATGACTGTGTGTGGCATCCTCTCTCCTGACTTTATGGGATTCTGTAAGATACACCAGAATGCAGGAAACCATCTCTTGTCATAGATAATGAGTTGACCCTGGCTTCTCACTTTGACAACTAAAGCTGCAATAAACATCTTTGTACACATATCCTGTGTACTTGTTTGAGCGTTGCTGTAGAGCACATTCCTAGAAGTGAAATGGCTGAGTCAAAGAGAATTCTCTCTGATAATCTTGAAACGTGCTAACAAACCGTCCCCCAGAAAGGCTGTACCATTTTATGCTTCTGTGGATGAAACAGCACTTTTCCCAGCCCTTGACAAAATGAGCATCACGAATCTGCTTAATTTTTGCACCTGACAGGAAGTGGTACCTTGCGTTTCCCCTCACTGGTGAGGTTGAACTTTAGTTCTCC